TCCGCGACTGGTGCACGTGGTGCTGAAGAACATCTCGGGCCTTGCTTCGCTGATGAGTGCCGGCGAGCGGGCAGAGGCGGATGGGCATCGCCAGCAAGTCGCGCGCCTCGCGCCGCTGCAGTCTTTCTCCCTCTAATACTGCTACTTCTTCACCCACTTTTCCCCCGCCCTCCCCGCGCTCGCGCAATCGTTGCGCGCGCTCACGCTCGTCGACCTCTCCGCACTCTACTCCTTCCCCACCGAAGTCTGCCGCCTCACCGCGCTCACCTCCCTCACGCTCCTCCTCCTGCGGCACGTCAACTGCCTCCCTCCCGCGCTCTCCGCGCTTTCCGGCGTCCGAGCTCGCCGCGCTTCCCGAATCCCTGGGCCAGCTGGCGGTGCTCGAGTCGCTGGAGCTGGACGACTGCCCCGCGTTGCGGAGCCTGCCCGCGTCGCTGGGCCAACAGGCGGCGCTCGGCGCTGCGGAGTCTGCTGCCGTGTCCGCCGCCATGGGCGGGCTCAGCGCCCTGACGCACCTCAGCGTCACCAGGTGCGGCGCGCTCACCGCGCTGCCGGACTCCATTGGCCAGCTGGGCCACTTAAAAACGTTGACTATAGCGAGCGCGTCAGTCGCGTCCCTCCCGTCGAACACTCTGAGCGGGCTGACCCGCCTGGAAGCGCTACGCATCTTCGACTGCCCCCTCCTCGCCGTGCTCCCCACGTCCCTCCGCGCCCTTCCCCACCTCCACACGATCTCCCTCACCGACTGCCCCGCCCTCCACGCCCTCCCCGACGCCATAGGCCAGCTGCCCGCCCTCAAGCGCCTCTCCCTCAAAGACTGCCCCGTGCTCGCCCACCTCCCCTCGTCCCTCCCGCTTCTCCCCGCACTCGAGTCGCTCGACATCACAAGCTGCGCGCTGCTCGCGCACCTCCCCGACGACTTCCGCCCACTGCCTCGCCTCGCGCGCCTCTCTGTCCGCAACTGCCGCGCCTTCTCCCACCTCCCCGCCTCGCTCTCCCGCCTGCCCGCCCTCAGCGTGCTCAAGCTCTCGTCCTGCTTGTCTCTCTCCGCGCTGCCCCCCGACCTCGCGGCCCTCCCTGCGCTGCACTCGCTGCTGCTGGACGAGTGCTCCGCGCTGGCGGAGCTGCCCGCAGGACTGACGCGCGCGCGGGGGCTGCGCCACTTGGACGTGCGCGGGTGCGGGGTGGTGGGAGGGGACGCGGAGGTGGGCGTGTGTGAGAGGCGCGTCCACGTGGAGCGGGGTCGACGCTAAGGGGGCGAGAGGGGCTCGTACGTGATGGGGACGATGGCCAGAGACTGACCAGTGCAGCGCGCGAGGAGGGGGGGCGAGGGGGGAGAGGGCGGGGAGGCAGAGGGAGGCGAGGCCGTGGAGGGAGGTGAAGGGGGGGCAGAAAGGGGAGGTGCGGCAAGAGGCGGGTTGGAGGGAGTAGTGGTAGCCTCGCGAAGGGATCAAGAGGGGGTGAGGGAGGAGCAAGGGGAAGGTGTGGAGGAGGTGTTGTGGGGGAAGACGATAAGGTGGGAGAGGGTGAGATGAGGAAACAAGGGGAACCGAGGGGGAAACAAGGGAGAAGAGGAGGAATGCTAGGAGGGAGGAAAAGAGGGAGGGAAGGGCGATGGGAATGGGGGAGCTGGCGATGGGGGCATAGGCGGGAACCAGGTTAGGGAAGAGGCTAGGGGAGAGGCTGGAGGAGAGGCTGGGGGAGAGGCTGGGGGAGAGGTGAAGTGGTGAGTGGGTGAGGGGAGGAGGGAGGGAGTGAGGCGAGGGAGGGAGGGTGAGCAGCAAGGGAAGAGAAGATCGGGGCGGACAGGCAGAGATTGGTGAGGATGGGGAGGGATGCTGCTTGGTAAGCTTTGTAAAGGTAGGACTGCCGCTTGCACGGGAAAGGGCTGGCTCGGAGTGTATGGGTGAGCGGGCAGCTGCTGGTGTGCATGTGCCTGTACTACCATATTTCGTTTGTCCCTGTCAGTACTCACCATTCATGCCATGCTGCTGCTCTTACGGTAGGTAAACTGATTATCAGTGAATTGGACATTGCCTACCAGTGTAAATGTTTCTGTAGGCTACTACCGTAATGCATTATTCATTGCACAAGTGGCTCAGAATATACACAAGTGACTGAGCGGTCAGGTCTGGTTGACACTCTGCCTGCGCAGGTGCCACAGGTGGCTCTCGCACCTTCCAGCACACCGCACAAGTGGGGACAGTGACACAACACACAGTGCCGTAATCAAGAACCTTAGCGAATTTGGTTGAGGAAATCTGGCCGAAATCACGTGCACACAATGATTACACCAACGTTTTCATCCTGCAAAACATCAAACATACCCTAGCTGCTTGAGCATCAAGACGATCACCGAAAAAATACACATATACATACGAAAAATTAACCACACTGAATTCGAGGAAGCTGCAAAACACTAAACCGGGCGGGCATGCCAAAACCCAACCTAATCTAAGTGGATACCAGAGAAACGCCGCCTCTCTGTCAAAAATGCGTTGTTACTCGGATAGGCCCTCTCAGCTCAATTTTGTCCACTTTTATGGAAGCATAAAAGTCCTGGGGATTCTTGAACATCCCAGCAGCGAAGAACAGATTGAATGGGCAGCCAGGCATGTAAGGCGAAGCGACCGCAGTGGAAGCTGTCATGGTGCATTCCCAAGTGGTGCACAGCCCACGATTGGGACCGTGTCGTATGTGCAGGGAAGCGGAAACTCCTTCACGAGGGCCTTGGTGCTGCTCCTGTAGAATCCGAGACGGGTGATGTTTGGTGACTTGGTTGTTACGGCCGCAATACGGAAGTTGTAGTTGAACGTTTGGAGCTTATCCGAGCTGCAAGTGGGAGCGGGCGAGGAGGGGGGGTGGGGGGCAGGGTTGGAGGGAGAGAGACATGCAGGTGATGTGAGAGCTGTGGTGCAACGATTGGAATCAACTCTCTCAGCTTTGAGGGCAAAGCCTCTTCTACATGCTCAATGCGTTTACTTTATAAAAGTCAATGGATTGTAGAAGTAAACGCAATACGTTTTATGTGGCACTTACACATTAGCACGCAGAGTGCAAGAGCCAATCAAAGCACCAGTTGTCGAGGCAAACCGGGACTTAAGTTGGTCTGCGCAAGGAGGAAGGACCACAAACACGAATTTGGTAGACAGAAGGAACGGAACACACCGGATAAGCAATGCAAGCATGATAGAGACGGTGCAGGGGAGCACGACATGACTCATTGAGTTGACCATCATGCGTCCCAATTCGAGAAAGTGATAGTGTGACGTACAACAACAAATGACGGAAAACAATAAAGGGTGACATACAACAAGAAAGGGCGACGTACAACAAGAAGGGTGACATACAACAAGAAAGGGTGACATACAACAAGAAAGGGTGACGTACAGAGTGCCTCGCGGCGTATGCCGGTGTCGGCGCCGACGGCGCTGCAGGACAGCGAGAGCAGCACTGCATGCGAAGAATGACGTACAGGGAAGATTAGTGCAGAGTCCCGATTTTTGCAATTATTACTGTTATTAGCTGCTATCTTATTTATCTTACTTACGGATTTGCAAAACGGAGGAGCAGACTCAGCGGCGTGAGACACGTTTCAAGCGAAACCGTGGATATTACGGAAAGTGCGAGTGAGTAGAGTGAGCAAGCAACGGCTGGGCGACTACAGAGAGCAGAAAACGTGCTCACTAGCACTCACTAGCGCTCACCGCTCACAGCGGTGAGTGTATCATCAGATATATAGTAGCGACTCACCAGCGAGGGCAGTTGCGATTCGCAGCGACGTATGGGCCATTGCTGCCGCTTTGAGATGTACTGGTAGTAGTATTAGTCACAAATGAATCACGGTCCTGGGACTTGCGGATGGTGCAGCGAATTACGGCGCAGTATCTAGTAGGATGGGCCAAGAATTAAACAGAATGAGATGTTCTGCCGAAGGGAAGCCCTGCTTTATAGACGGACAGCTCAAGCGGGCTGGCTGCTCCACAGACAGAACAGCGGCGCGTAAAGAGGATCCTCTGTAAACATCGTGGTTGCTACTCCGCTCCATTTGGCGTCGCACGCGGCGCTACTATTCAGGTAGAACCCGCCAGGTACTAGAAAAGGAGGAAACGAGTCGTCAAGTTGACACGACGATTTCCCTCGCTTTTACAAGACAGAGGAGGCTATTGTAACACAAGCCGAGCGACAGGTGCATCGAGCGTATCCTTACAGGTCTCAAGATTGATTCTTGCCGTGCGGCTCGACATTGCGGCATGTCTAACATTACGCTGGATTCTAACTCCAGATTCCAACGCAACAATAGGAAATCTGAAGGGTTTAGTTCCCTGCGGCCCAGGGTGTGCTGCCGCATGTCATGCTGCTACTGGGAAGCTGGTTCGCTTGGTACCACAGGCTGATCACATAAGCTGAACCCTCGAAGAACCTCTCAACCGTTTTAATAACAGACGGAAAACATTCGCAGAGTGCGCCATCTCACCACCTGCGGCGTGACATCAGAAATGTCGAGAACCATCTGGTGCCTGCCTTGTCACAGGGCTCACGCTGTTACAGGCACCGGCATGTCGCGCAAAACCATCTGACAGCTAGTGGTTGCGACGAAAAAACAGCGAACAACCTTTCTTCTCTATTCGCGATGCCAACCATGTTTGCATCCCAAAGTAACACTCTAGAATTAGCATGTTACTAGTTACAGAAATCTAAATGCACTCTTTGAATTACCGGTACAAGATGTGGATTAGGATGACATACCCATCCAGAAATCTCCACTCTCATCCATGTATCATGCCTAGAAATACAGGGGCTTTATAAAAGTGAGACCTGTACCACTCAATATGTCCTTATTCAGCAAAGCAAGCATGTGCCTTGTATCCTTCAAGAGAACAACTGTACAATGAAAGCCCTACTGAAAGTCCATCTTGGATCTGATTTAAGGGTCAGTAAAGAGGACAAATCGATAGTAAATGGATGCAACTACAAGAATAAACATTGATATTGACTTATCATTTGAGCAACGAGCGGGCAAGATGATCTTTTGCTGTTGCCAAGGCTTGGGAAATGGTCTGGAGTAGGGGATAGTACACGCACAATCACATAGACCACACACCACATGTGCATTTGCATGCAGGCACACAAACAGACACACACATTCACCACTCACACAGATGGACACACACACAAACACACACACACACACACACATGCACACACACACACAGACACACACACACACACACACACACACACACACACACCCTCACTCACACACCTCACACACAATAAAAATGGCAGGAGTCGGAGAGTCAAGGACGGATGATAGGCTTTGTTGACACATGGTGCGTTGTGCCTGGAAAAGTGTAATTTGAATGCAACGTTGCACCACCAATGATAGCAAAACTCGGCCACAGGGTAGGGAGAGCGAGCGAAGAAGCAAGTGAACTTGGGCATGCAAGCCAACAGCTCACACCCGGCTCGTGTTGTCTTTGCGCAGTTTTAGGAGATAAATCATGCACTGATCTATTCCAAGTTCCATGCATTCTTCACTCACCTCTTTCTGACCTACCCTCACCCACCTCTATCTTCACTCACCTCCCTCTTCACTCACCTCCCTCTTCACTCACCTCCCTCTTCACTCACCTCCCTCTTCATTCACCTCCCTCTTCACTCACCTCCCTCTTAACTCACCTCCCTCTTCACTCACCTCCCTCTTCACTCACCCCTCTCTGCACTCACCTCTCACTTCACTCACCTCTGTCTTCACCTTCTTATTCCAAGCGCCACAAACTGCTGCATCACCTGTTCAGAGAGAGGCAGGTCGGCATCGGCTCCTCGCATGGCGACTCTGTTGGCGATCACTGTGGGCTCCGTCTCCAGAATCACCCTGCCGCACACATGGATGGGGTGTCAGGCAACACAGATAGGAGTAAGCAGTTGGAGTGTCAAGCAGCACAGTTGGGGTTCAGTCAGCAGCAGGGGAGGGGAGGCCGCACAGGTGGGTGACGGCAGTGTCCGTCACAAGGACCATTCAAGACAACGAACAGACCCGAGACAACGAATAGGTGGGAAAAACAAGGGTGAGGGAAGCCCATTTGGAGTAGCCGCGACCATCACAGCCGATCCCAGCACAGCCAGTCATGAACGGAGTGCAAAGTATGCCACCACCGCCACCTGCAGTGCAGTGCGGGCTACCTTCATATGCACAGACTAGCTCCACCCGCACAGACTAGCTCCACCCGCACAGACTAGCTCCACCCGCACAGACTAGCTCCACCTGCACAGACTAGCTCCACCCGCACAGACTAGCTCCACCCGCACAGACTAGCTCCACCCGCACAGACTAGCTCCACCCGCACAGACTAGCTCCACCCGCACAGACTAGCTCCACCCGCACAGACTAGCTCCACCCGCACAGACTAGCTCCACCCGCACAGACTAGCTCCACCCGCACAGACTAGCTCCACCCGCACAGACTAGCTCCACCCGCACAGACTAGCTCCACCCGCACAGACTAGCTCCACACCCCCCACATCTCCCCCACTACACCCCCACATCTCTCCCACCACACCCCCCACATCTCCCCCACCACACCCCCCAAATCTCCCCCACCACACCCCCCACATCTCCCCCACCACACCCCCCACAGATCCCACAAATATCCCCGCCACCTCCATCGCCACATCCCCAGCACCACCCAGAGCGGAACGGAGAGCAAGCGGGCACTCACCCGCCGTCGACGAGCTCGTCAAGGCACAGCAGCACGAGGTCGAGGTTCTCCAGCACCGTCTTCTTCTCCACGTTGCCCCTGAGAAGAGCAACACATCCAAGCAGGAGACAAAGTGAGAGGAACCCATAGGGTGAGCGGAATGAGGAAGAACAGACAGGCACGAGGTCAAGATTCTCTAGAACCGTCTTCTTCTCCACGTTGCCCCTGATGCGCACAGATGGATAATAGATTCACAGATGGATAATAGATTCACAGATGGATAATAGATTCACAGATGGATAATAGATTCACAGATGGATAATAGATTCACAGATGGATAATAGATTCACAGATGGATAATAGATTCACAGATGGATAATAGATTCACATCAAAACGAAGAAAAAGAATAGGTGAGTTGACGTGTCAGGTTCTCCGGCACCGTCTTCTTCTCCACGTTACCCCTGATGCGCACGCACGGCACGCACGTCAGATAGATAATCGAATGAGTACAAGACCGAAGGAATAAGCAAAGGGATGTTGACCGTGACAGGGAACTGTGTGGTCATGCCATGCAAGAAACGGAGTGAGCGAAGCCCAAAAGGTGAACGGGATGGGGGGGAACAAACGCGCACGCACCTGTGTTGGTCCGAGAGTGGACCAAAAGGTCCGAGAGAGGAGTCACCCGAGGAGATACGAGACGGCTTCGAAGAAGGCGGTGAGGACGGTGGAGAGAATCAGCTTGTTCTCGTCCGCGCGCTGACTTTGGGGTCGACTCACAAGGGAGGGAGGTCACCTGAGCAGATGCGAGACTCAAACGCCCGAGAGTGCACGCACCTGAGGAGATGCGAGACGGCTTCGAAGAAGGCGGTGAGGACGGTGGAGAGGATGAGCTCGTTCTCGTCCTCGCCGCCCGTCACGTAGAAGTGCAGATCCGCGATAAACCTGTACACCACGATGAACCCCTCGAATATGCCGATCTCCGCTGCGCACGACACAAGGCACACGCGGAGAGCAACGATCCGCACGGGAAACAAAAAGGTACGGCTGAGATGCTCAGATACTGTTTTGAGTCTACTGAAAACACATCCATACGGGAAACGAGGAAGTGCGATGAAAATTGTCAGCTTTCCGCAGCGATATTGGATGATGGGAGCAGCGGATCGCTAGGTCAGGATTCTTCTCATGTTATGTATCGCCGTGCGCATTAGAAATTTCTCAGCGCACTTCGCAAACGGATAGGTGAACTGCGTGTGAAGGAAAGGGAAACAAAGAGAGCCGCACCTTCTGCTCTGGCATTGGCGCGTTGTGTTTTGCTCAGAAGCGACTTCTCAAAATTTAGCTTGGCTGCGAGAGTGGGCCAATCGTCCGAATAGTACTTCACCGCTACTCGCTTCCCTTCTGAATCCAGTAGCAGGATGTTCTTTATCAATGGCGCCGACACCTGCGAGAAGTTAACCAGATGTGAGGCCAGATAAGGGAAGCTCGCACGCAAAATGTGAAGCAGTGAATTTTCGTGCGGAGGGAGTCATTGCGGATGCTGATCGGCGAGTACCTCCATTGCGATGATGGCTTATATTCGCGAGGCCAGACTCCGGTGCGACACACGAAAAGACTCCACTAATACACCGCACCCGGGACAACGGATTACCGGCGCTCTAGACGGAAACGCGTAGTAAGGAGTATATAAGTGGACTTGAAGTCTGGGCTGCTCGTGGTGTATCCCGTGAATCTGAAATGGCGGGGAAGCTGAGCTTGAATCTCCAGACACAAGCGACGGATCAGAATGGTCAGGTCAGGTCAGGGCATGAATGGACTCCAGCCGATTGAATCTCGAAACGAAGCATCGGTTTTGATCGGAGCGGTTTGATCGGGTTAGGTACACTTACTGGTCGGTACAGGGGTTTGCAGTGCCGAGCGGGTGAGTTGGAAGCACAATTCCAGTAAGGGTTGGGCTCTGCTGGTTGGACTGAGCAGCTACCTAATATTGCAACTATTGTTAGTGTGAATTAAGACCATTAATGTATAGTTAAAATCACCCTGTATGAGCTGAAATGGAATGGACCAATAGCACCTGAATGTGGTATGGACCTATTGGGAAACTAATCAACAGGCAACCTTATCCAAATGGATGTAAGGTAACTTCTAAAGTACACAATTTCACCAAAACAATGCCAACTTGTAGAGCACACCATGTCTTTTAACTCGTTCCGCTTTGTGCCTTAGCCAGCTCCTGCAACCTGAAAAGGGGTACGGTATAAGAAATTCTGACTGCCAGTTCAACCACACTAGATAACTTGACTGCTGAAACTGCCCATGGCATTTTACCAACTTTCACCGTACAGACACCAGTATGGACTAGCCATCAGATCGGACCTACCAGCCTGGCATATTCGTATCATTGCCAGGCCTCAGCACTCTACCCGCTCCCCCACCCCGTCCCCCACTCCCTCTCCCACCATCCGCACCCCTCCCCACCATTTCCTTCAGCTTCGCCACCTCAGCTTCGCACAGCACCAGTGCATTCCGAACCTCCGAAAACGTCGGGTCCCTGGGGGATCCGTCGCTTAGCGGAGAGTCTCTCTTAGCGGCCTGCCTTAGCAGCTGCAGGGCCTCCTGGGTTAAGCGCAGGCGGGAAACGGAGGAGAGGGGGCGCAGGCGCGAGCGGTCCCTGAGAGCCAGCGCCCAGTTGAGGAGAGCTGGAGTGAGGGGGGATGCCAGAGGGGTGGGGGAATGGCAGTGGGAGAGAGGTTGGGATAAGGTGAGGGAGACAACTAAAGGCACGAGTGGTCCATGAGGGCCAGCGCCCAGTTGAGGAGAGCTGGATGGAGGGGAGATGCAAGTGGGGGATGAAATGGCAGTGGGAGGAAGCATGGGAGAAGGGGAGGGAGAGAACTCAAGGCGTGAACGGTCCCTAAGGGCCAGTGCCCAGTTGAGGAGGGCTGGAGGGAAGAGGGGTGAAAGGAGGGGATCAAATGGGGGTGGGAGGGAGCATGGGAAAAGGGGAGGGAGAGAACTCAAGGCCTGAACAGTCCCTAAGGGACAGTGCCTAGTTGAGGAGAGCTGGATGGCGGGATACGAGAAGGGGGGGTGAGAGCAGCAGGGGATCGGGGAGCGGAGAGAGGATGCATTAGGGGAGGAGGGGCAAGAGCTTTGAGTTAGGCAAGGAGAGAGCATGGGATGAAGGCATGGAGGCGAAATGTGTGGGAGGAGAGATGGAGACAGGAGCAATTCAGAGCGGAAGGCGCCCTGCTGAGAAGTGGTGGAGGCAAGAGGCTGGGGCAGAAAGGGACGAGATTTTGGAGAAGTGGACTAGAGCAAGAGGTGAGACAGGAGACTTGGCAATGGCTGTGTACGGAGTGGAGGGTGGCAGAGGTGGACGAGGTGGCAGAGGTGGCAGAGGTGAGAAAAAGGAGATAGAGGAGCTTCCAAGGGGATTAAGAGGCGCTCACCACTGGCGTGCCAGCGGTCGGTCATGGAGAGCATTGCTTCAAACTTGTCAATGGCTGCACAGAACATGCGGTCTGCTAGCGCCTTGTACTCCTGGCAGGAGAAAAGGGCGGGGGGTGGAGGGCAGGGTGCATTTGTAAGATGTCCCAAGAAGAGAATACGCTTTGTAGTCCTGCTGGGGAAGGGAGTGGGGGGTGGGGGGCCGGATGGCACCTGTAAGATGTAACAAAAGAAGAGGATGCTGTCGGCTAGTGCCTTGTACTCCTGCAAACGAGAGATGAGGAAAGGGGCAGCACGTTGGGGAGAGGGAGAAGGCGAAGATGAGGGGAGGCAGTGCGCTGAAGATGCAGTCTGCCAGCGCCTTGTGCTCCTGCCAGCCAGGGATGCTGAGTGCTGCATTCCCTCAATCACCTCTCCCATTTCCTCTCTCCTTTCTTTTCTCTCTCCTCTCTCTCCTCACTCTGTCGTCCCCTTCCCCCACCTCATTATCCCCAGCCTCCTCAGCCACAAGCTGCCCACCATAACACAGAGCCAGCCCCCATCTGAAACAACGAGCGGGCATCCCGCCTGTCCATGCCGACAGCCTGGCGGTACCGCCTAAACCCCTGCTCCCTCACCTAGCCTCTTCCCTCCCTCTCGTTATCCCAGCCTCCTCAGCTGTCCACGATAATACACAGCAAGCCTCCAGCGGAAGAGCGCCCTTGCATCCCGCCTGTCCATGCTGAGACCTCGCAGTACCACCTGAACCCCTCTCACCTCATTGTCCCCAGCCTCCTCAGCCACGAGCTGCCCGCGATAACACAGCGCCAGCCCCCAATTGAAGAGCGCGCGGGCATCTCTCCTATCCATGCTGAGCGCCTGGCGGTACTGCCGACCGGCCTGCACCAGCAGCTGCTCGCACTCATCCGCCAGCCGATCCATCACTGCCGCCGCCTCCCGACCCACCTGCTCCTGCTGCACCGCCGCCAACCCCCCCGCGCCCTCGCCCCTCGCCCCACCGGCCCCTCCCAGCAGCCCTGCCAGCGGCGACTGTCCCCGCAGCAGCTGCACGGTTCTTAGCTTCACCTCGCCGTGCGCCAGCAGCGCGTTCCCCAGCTGCCCCACGGCCGCCACGCTCACCGGGTCCAGCTGGCACGCACGCTCAAACAGCGCAGTGGCGCGCTCCAGGAAGGCCTCCGCCATGCCAATCTCTATGCGCCCCTGCAGCCCGCCACGGCCCTCCTGCAGGAGCGTTTGGCCTTCGGACATGTACTGGTTGAAGCGCTCTCGCATGGAGAGCGATGTACCGGGGTCGGAGGGGGCAGCGGTTGCAGTGGTTGGGGTGGTTGCAGTGGTTGGGGTGGTGCTGCCACTGAGGTTGCTGCTGTTGCTGCTGCTGGTGTTACTGTTGGTGGTGGTGGTACTTCTGGGGTTGGACGAGGGAGAACCTGGCCTGGCTGCTGTGCTGTCAAGCCGTGCATTCTGATCCGTGCCCCTCACTGATCTACTGTCAACCACATCACCACCCCCGCCACCACCACCAGCCATTCCACCACCACCAGCATCACCCCATGCACTTGGTGATTTTTCCAGTGATCCTCGCTGCTGCTCATTCATATGCTGCTGTTGCCGCAAAGCGTTTGTCTCCCATGATTCCTCCTCTCCCTCCACTCTCCTACCCTCTCCTCTACCGCCGTCCATCTCTCCCACTCGCCCAACCAACTCCCTCCCACCAACACCACTCCCCCCCCCAACCCGGAATGGCATCTCATCTCTCCCCTCCTCGCCAGCACCCCCCCACCCTCGCCCCCCTCTCTCTCCCTCGCCTCTCCTACTATCACTCCCCCCATAATTACCTCCACCATACTCGCCCCCACGTGCCACAGCATCACCTCCCCCATCGTCCCCGCTTGCCCTCCCCACCCACTGCTCACCTCCTGCTCGCCCTCCCTCCCCTGCCTCCCTCCATCCCTCCCCACCGCCCCTCCACTGCCCCTTCCCCCCTCTCCCTTCCCTCTCCCCGCCCCTCCACTGCCCCTCCCCCCCTATCCCTTCCCTCTCCCCGCCCCTCACACCAGACTGCTCGCCTGCTCCTCGTCCCCAGACACCACCATCCCTTCCCAATCCCCCCACCCTCCCAACCCTCCCCTCGTTATATTCACCACTCGCCTGCCCATCTCCTCTCCATAATAAATTCTCTCTCCTTTCCCCCTGTCCTCTCAATCCCTCGCCCCTTACCCCTCCCTCTCCCTGCCCAAACCCCTCCCTTCCTTCCCTATCCCAGCCCTCGTCACTATCCGCATTCCAAACGCCCTGCCCATCAGTCAAATTCCCATCGTTATAGTCCCATTCCCCCCTTTCCCTTCCACTCCGCTCGCGCATTCCGCCACCTCCGCCACCTCCGCCACTCCCTCTTTCCCCCCTCCCTCCTCCTCGCTCTGCAACCCAGTCTTCCCCCCTCTCCCCTCCCCTCTCCCCTCCCCTCTCCCCTCCCCTCTCCCCTCCCCTCTGCCCTCTTCTTTCCCCCACTCCCCCGCGTGCCTGCCCTGCATCCCATCCTCCCAAACTGTTCCCTCCGCTCCCCCGCATAGCTTCTCCCCACCCACCCTCCCCCTCCCCTCCCCCACCTCCCCCACCTCCCCATCCCCCTGCCGGCTCCCCTCCCCCTCCCCTCACCGCGCTCGCCACCCCCAGTGGCATCTCCCTGCCTGTCCGCCCGCCCATGCCCATCCCCCGCCCCCCGCCTCTCCCCCCGCGCCCCCTGCCATCCGCCTCCCACCCCAGCTTCTGCTGCAGCGGCCCTCTCGTCCCCACCGCTGTGGTTTGCGGCGCCTCAAAAGACCCTCTCGCACCCACGCCTATTGTTTGAGGCGCTTCAACTGACGCTCTCATTTCCATGTGTTGCGGTGCCGCCATCAAACCTCGCATCCCCAAGAGTGCTGCTTCAGGTGCTTCATTCCAACCTCTCATGCCCACGGCATCCTGTTGCTCCCCCCTCCTATCTTCTCTCCACCTGCCTCCGAGCTCCTGCTGTGGCTGCTGCTGCTGGAATGACTGGGAGGGCAGTAGCGAACTCGACTGTTGCAGGGATGCAGCGGAGAGATTGGAGGACTTCAGGGAGGCACCGGGAGTACCAACGGGCGAATTGGAGGGTTTCGCGGAGGCAGCAGCGGAAGGAGGAGCAGCGGCGGCGTTGGCGGTAAGGGAACCCGCGGCCGCAGTGACGATGGCGGTGCGAGCAGCCATGGATAACGCGAGGACGCGCATGAGGTTGGTCGGATCGAGAGCAGGTGGTGATGAACTGTCAGTCGCCGATGCCGCGACTGTGTTGATACGCGACGCGACGGAGTTGCTACGCGGAGCGATGACAGGTGGTGATGAGCATGGTCCACTCCACCCCTCCGCTGCTCGCCGAACTGTCAGTCGCCGATGCCGCGACTGTGTTGATACGCGACGCGACGGAGTTGCTACGCGGAGCGACGGTGTTGTTACACAATGCCAGACGGATAATGACGGCAAGCGATGACAGCCGGAATGACAGCGATTAAAACGACCGGCAATTTTCTGGGTTGCCAGGCTTAAATTCGATAATTGCGGTGGCAGCGATAGTGTATGGACGGTTGTCTGCACGTGAACGCACTCCATTACAGATAGGCGCGATGCTCGCCTAAATTACGATTAAGAATGGCCCGCGATTCGTGGAAAGTGGCTAAAACGGACGGCTACAAGCTTTCGTGCAGGGATAAAGGGTTGACTGAGAATCTGGGGCCGAACGAAAGCTAAAGCATGACTGGTATCTAGTACTAGTTCCCTTATTCATGGGACCACCATTCCGTTGACAGAAGTGCCGCTGTGGTGTGTGACTGAAGCCGATTCATCGAGGGATGACTAACTGAAGAAAGGGGTGGTGAGGATTTACAGGGAGTGAAAAAACGTTTGAAATAGAAAGAAGAGGGATGAAGCGACCTTGTCCGAAAATTCAGCTGATCCTAGGGAGTTCAGCATAGAAGTTACGGCGAGGTACACGTCACAGGACGAAGCTGGATTCTATTGGCTGGCAAACGGGCTTTCGTCTGACGTCACTATTGAGTCACCCGCAAATACACGACCCTCGCAAAACACAAACTTAGACAATTATGTAGTTCGAAGCATGACACACACGTCCAGATTTGTGACTATCGTCAGAGATCGGACGGCTGTACGTTGTCAACCCGTCAAAGGCACATTCTCCCGATGTCTTCTCTTGGAAGTCCACAAGAGGGTGTGCGCCTTCTCTATCCCCTCCTCAATCCTATCCCCCTCTCTGTTCCTCACCCCTCGCCCCCAGCAACCTCTGCTTTTCACCCTCCCCCGGCAGAGCCAAGTCCTTTTCCCCTCTCACCTATTCGGTCACCTCAGCAGTCGTAGTGTCAGGCAGGGCCAGCGTCGTGAAAAAATCTTTACACGTCCTAGAAGCATCCCATAAGCAAGGTATGAGCTCCTTCCGCGTCGCGCAAGTATAGTTATTGTTGTAAGCCACCTTTTAGCCCCGAATTTGTGACAGATTTTGCCATCCCTTAGTTGTCTAGTTGCTTATGTTCTTTCAGATGGATCGGGAGAAGCTTATGAAGATGGCCACTGCCGTCCGCACCGGCGGCAAGGGCACCGTTAGGAGGTACAGTTTTACCGGCTTCTAGGGTTCAAGATACAAATGGAGATTGACGGATGTAGAATATTCGGACCTGCTCTTTTGCCAATACAGAAGGCTCAAGTAGGGTTTTGGCGTCAGCAGGACCGTCTTGCATATTGATTGAGCTTGCTTCTGGAGTTTGGCGCTCGAGGGTTTTTTCTTTACTCCATATGAGTTATTCTCTGTCAAGGCTAGATGCGCATGCAGTTGCTGTTAAAAAACGATTAGACTTGCCCTCAAACTTCTTCGGAGCAGTTATTCGAGAAATTATTGGAGTCGGTGCGTTTAGCCGTTGTCATACCGCGTGTTCAGTATTCGTTGCTGATTCAGGACTAGTGTGTTTTTCCTGGTTCTTCATTCGTGTCAGGAAGAAAAAGGCCGCTCACAAGACGACGACGACCGACGACAAGAGGCTATCAAGCACTCTGAAGCGCCTTGGAGTAAACACGATTCCAGGGATTGAAGAGGTCAACATTTTCAAAGACGACACGGTCCTCCACTTCTCCAACCCTAAGGGTACAATCGCGCTGCTTTCCTGCTGCCCATCATTTTGAATTACGCGCCTGTTATGTGTCCAGCAGCCTGAAGAAATTAGGGTGTTTGGAGCTTTATGCGTGACATCCCTTTTTGTGCACGTCGTGGTCATTTTTCTTGAGCTGGTTTTCCTAGCTGGAGTTTTCCTCTTGTCCATTCAACATCTCGGCCCTTTCAAACGTGTCCGTTCTTCTTATCTTCACTTGCAGTGCAAGCGTCCATCGGAGCAAACACATGGGTTGTCAGTGGCGTCTTCCGGGAGAAGAGTAAGTTTCATGTTCGCCTTCCTTGCGATCCTCCCCGTCTCCCCTTCAATTTCGGTCGCGCAAATTGTCGTCTTGCGACTTACGGGTGTGAGTGCTGTGTTTGGTTCTTTTCTGTTTGTTTCAGATCTCCAAGAACTGCTACCTGGCATCATCAACCAGCTTGGTAAGTGGAAACGAGGGAAAGTTGTGTGTGACGAAATGAGTGTGGATTAGATTGAACAACATAGTGAACATAGGATTATTGTTTGCTCGCTAGGATGAATAACCTCACACTCTCGCCTTCGCGTCATAGTTTAAAATGCATTGTACTCAAACAATTCCCCCCCCCCCCCCTCTTGTTTTTCCAGGCCCTGACAACTTGGCTGGACTGAAGAAGATTGCTCAGGAGTATCAGAAGGCGGGTGAGGCTGCCGCCGCTGCCGGGGCTGCTGCTGAGGATGACGACGAAGTGCCGGAGCTGGTTGAGGGGGAGAACTTCGAGGATGCTTCCAAAAAGGAACCAGCAGCTGCAGAGGCTTGATTGGGTCCACACGCAAGTGGGTTGTTCAGGCGCTGCTGGAAATTCTACAAGTTTAGCTCCTGGAATTCTGAGAGGGATGTCGCTTAGGTGTGGTTTGGTGGGAGAATCTGCTGTTCCTACAGTAAGGGATGACTGGATGGTGGTGTTGCCTGTCTCCAGTTCATTTCGTCAGTGTTGCAGCTGGTTCACTCAGCAATCACCTTGTGTAGGAAGACGGGACTATGGTAATTCGTATAGGACCGTCACGGTGGGTTTCTTTTTTCTGATCTATACCCAAAGTGTATCTGCCCTCGACGTCTATTTGAGAAAGCACACTGCAGAGCTTTTATTCACCTTTGAATTTCGGATTGTTACAGGAAAGTTTTGTATAATCCTAATGCGTTTGGAATTGCAGTCGTACATTTGAGAATTAGCTTGGATTAATTGTGCTAGACCTCAAAAGAAGGCATATTTTGGATACTGTCGAATTTAGGTACACTGCAGAAAAGCACCACCCGATTGATAGCTACCACATCTAGGCTACCACCGTCACACCTCTGCTGGCACTTTGTTTCTAGATACGCGGCAGCCCACCACCACTTCCACAGAATTTCGGCGATGGAATTCACCCTCCTGCGCCAGGCGATGCAGAGGGCGAACGTGGTTCTGACAATAGGTGCTTGGAAAGGACATGCAACCATAGCTAGTGGACAGTACCCGTGCTAGTGGACAGTCCTCGATATTATCCTTTCAGCCGATATTTCGAATATTTACTCCTAGGACACAACGCAGTGGTGCGCCGCGGTTCTGTTCAGCGCGTCTCGAAAGTAAAGGCAACCACGCGCCTCAACCGTACAGTATCGAGGCGCGCGAAATCGTGGCGGTGGTACCTGATTTCACCCGATCCGCCATCGCACTCCGCAGACATGGCGGAGACACTACCTGCCTCGTACCAACAGCAATTTCAACAATAGTACCTTACTATAAAACGCAGCCATGGCCAAACTGTTCCTCACCAGCTCTCGCCTTCGCCGTTCCCCTTTATTGGAGTCATTTCTGAGAACCCACACAACCCACATTAGCATTATCCTCCACATTCTCCTCCGTTCGTTTCAGCCAGCAGTCCCCTCGGCTAGAAGTTCCGAATTGCCTTATAACGCGTATCATGGCTGCGGGTAAGCCGTCCTTCGCACTGCCGGTGCTCGTGCTGCTGCTGGCGGCGGCGTGCCTGGCGGCGGCGCAGGTGACCAGTCCCCCCAAGGCGGAGGTGGTGGCGGAGCTGAAGGCGCTCAAGCGCGCACTCAGGCTGCGCCCCAAGTACGCGCTCATCCGCCGCGTCGCCACCGAGGTGCTCTCCCGCCAAGGTGAGACAGCCGCCCCCCCCCCCCCTCCCCCCCCCTCCCCCCGCGCGCGCGTGCTTTGCTTCGCCAGTCAGCAGTACTCGGCATTGAAAGCCATTTAATTTCATTTCCTCTTGTTCGTGCTCGACACGTCATCGCCTTACCAGCCGCCTTTTCCGTTTCTCCCCTTTAATATATTTTATTTTAATTATATTGAATAATTACTAAATATCGTTTTGTTTTTTCCGTTACGTCATCGCACAGACGAGTTCCCCGACAACTTCGATTTTAGCGACGTGGTGAACAAGACGCTGCTGCTGCCCACCAACGGCGCCATCGTGGGCGCGGGCGTGCGCAAGCTGCCCTCCAACGAGACCGACGGCGCGCAGTACGAGGACCTCGGCCTCATGAACGTGCTTGACGGGTACCTCACTATCGAGGATATCAAGGCCGGCGCGATTCTCAAGACGATGCACGACGACCGGGTTCTGGCGGTGAAGGAGGCGCGCGGGGCGGTTGTCGCGCTGGGGCAGGAGGGGCAGAAGCGGCGGCAGTGGTCGGTGGTGGTGGATGCGAATCTGTTCAAGGGCAAGTTCGTCGTCGCGCACGGCGTCAGCCGCATGCAGCAGCCGTAGACGGCTCTTTTCGCGCGCTCCTGCGGCCGGCGATGGACAAAGCAAGCGTCTGATTCGCTGCTGGTTGTTGGATGTTGTTTCGACATTCGGACCAGCGTTGTGGGTCCAGTGCAGTTGCTGTTTCCTCCCGCGCATGTGTCAACGAATGCTTTCTTTTCAGGACGGACGTTCCTTCCTAGGTTGTCATCTCGCCAGCCATTCCATACCTCTAGCTGCGGCTCCTGACCTAATGTCGTCCGTGCGGCCAGAGCCGCGTCTGCGCTTGCTGGTTGTAGGTATCCATGCTTGCTGTGACCAGCAAGCGGAGACGTAGTGCTGGTGTGCAGCAGGGCAGATCTTGGGTATATTTGTCCGCGCTATTGTGTGACCTGCTCGTGTGGATACTGTGTTCTTGTACGATTTTAATATTTATAAGAATCGTTGCATATTCTTCCACAAATAGGTAAAAGATTTATCCAAGAAAAAGTGCTACCACAAGGTCTATACTGGTGTAAACCATGATTAGTTATTAGAAATTACGCAGTGCTTTTTTAGTGTATATGCTATACACACTTGTGGAAAACAAATGTCGCTGCCTGCTTATTCAATGCTTCTGTACATTTTCCCCCCACTTGATACTGCAAACTATGAGAGGGTGGAATACAACTGCATTATTACAGAGAGGCCCCGGTCCAGCAGCGCACTCCTCACTCCTCGTCGCGGTCTGGCGGCAGCCCACATGGCAGCAGCATGCGCTGTGATGGTGTGGAGGTGAGGAGATGAGTGGAGGTGTGGAGGTGGGGAGATGAGTGGAGGAGTGGAGGAGTGGACAAATGGACGAGTGGAGTGGAGTGCAGGGGACAGGAAAGGGAATTGGAAAGAAAGGGAATTGAGTTGGACATTCCTACGGACACAAAGGAAGAAGCTAAACCTTCTGAGTCGACTCAAAAGGCACAGGGAAAGGTAAGGGCATTAGTGAGAGAGAAACGGGAGTTGGACATACGGAACGGACACCTCAAAGAGAGGAAAACAGAGTTGGGCGTAGGAATGAATGATTATGGGCGCAGAGGACAACCTTGATCATGGGGCTACCATGCTATGCCATGCTATGCCATGCTATGCCATGCTATGCCCTGCTATGCCCTCCCATGCCTTGCTATGCTCTGCTATGCCATGCTATGCCATGCTATTCCCTGCTATTCCATGCTATTCCCTGCTATGCCATGCTATTCCCTGCTATGCCATGCTATGCCATGCTATGCCATGCTATTCCCTGCTATGCCATGCTATTCCCTGCTATGCCATGCTATTCCCTGCTATGCCATGCTATGCCATGCTATGCCCTGCTATGCCATGCTATGCCATGCTATGCCATGCCATGCCATGCTATTCCCTGCTATGCCATGCTATGCCATGCTATGCCATGCTATGCCTTGCCTATGCCCTGCTATGCCATGCTATGCCATGCTATTCCCTGCTATGCCATGCTATTCCCTGCTATGCCATGCTATGCCATGCTATGCCTTGCCTATGCCCTGCTATGCCATGCTATGCCATGCTATTCCCTACTATGCCATGCTATTCCCTGCTATGCCATGCTATGCCATGCTATGCCATGCTATGCCTTGCCTATGCCCTGCTATGTCATGCTATGCCATGCTATTCCCTGCTATGCCATGCTATTCCCTGCTATTCCCTGCTATGCCATGCTATGCCATGCTATGCCCTGCTATGCTATGCAATGCTTTGTGGTCGACTCTTATACGAATGCACTAACCATACAAGCCAAAGGGCATGTGACTTCAATACATTCTCACGAGTGCCTGAAACGAAACTATCTCAGACGAGATGCGGAAGCTTGCTATGCGAGGCCCATGCCATCATGCCATCATACCATCATGCCACCATGCCATCATACCATACCATCATGCCACCATGCCATCATACCATACCAACATGCCATCATGCCATCCATCACGTCACCATGGCACCACGCCACGCTACAGCAACAGCCCGCATCCCTGAAAACTTGCATGAAGTTGTATCGCTCGCGGCCGATGCCCCATTGTCGATACCTGCATCACTCTCTAGTTCACCACCCTCTCCTCCCCCCCCCATATCACTTGCATGAAGTTGTATCGCTCACATGCCACCATGCTACAGTGTCAACTACACGCACCTGCTACAACCCCCCCCCCCCCTCACCTGCATGAAGTTGTATCGCTCGCGGCCGATGCTCTCATTCTCCGCCACGGCAAAGAAGGCCAGCAGCGGATGATGCCCCACGTAGGAGGCATAGCTGTCCCGGTGGACATTCACCGCCCACTCGCTGGGGCAACAAGTGAGAGGGGGGGGGGGGGGACAGGGGGGGGAGAGCAGGGGGAGGGAGAAGGGGGGAAAGGGGGAAGGGGATTATAGGTGGAGTGAGAGGTGAAGAAGGCCAGCAGAGGATGGTGGCCCACGTGGGGAGCATAGCTGTCTCAGTGGATGGTGTCCACTGCCCACTCGCTGCATTGATGAGGGGACAAGGGAGAGAAAGCAAGATGAAGGGTCGATCGGTGGGAGGATGGAAGGTCAGCAGCGGATGATGCCCCACGTAGGAGGCATAGCTGTCCCGGTGGATGCTCACTGCCCACTTGCTGCATGCCACGGGGGTGAGAGCGGGGAAAGGGGGGAGCATAAGGGGAGTGGGAGGCGAATAAGTCCAGCAGCAGGTGGTATGGTGCCCCACATAGGAGGCATAGCTGTCCCGGTGGATGCTCACTGCCCACTCGCCGGAGCAACGAGGGAGCAGCAGTGTGATGGCAGGCGGAGAAACATGGGCGATTTTTTAGTCGACTCAAAAATCGCCTCATCACACGCGGATTGTATGTGGAGAGAATGTTTGTTGCGTGGAAAATTGGTTGTAACCTGCAGTGGTTACTAGTGCGCGCGCGACTTCCGAAGTTGCCCCTTGGCGAAAATCTGAACCCAACCCTTCACGCTGACACTTTCGAGGAAGTTGAAGACATGGCTGCCTGAAGTTTTCGAGGGTGGTCTGGATTGGTCCCCGTCATTTGGGTGACCTGGGTGTGGATAGCCTAGAGTTCGCTTTCTTAGAGGCCTTGCTTCTCTTTAGAGGCATTGCTTAGCTCTTCTTTCTCATTGTTGGCACTGATGAAGGTCTGATCGGGGTTTTCCCCGTGATAGGCCGAAACATGTTTGTCCCTGTTTTACTCTACTGCTAAGAATTTGGGTTCTGAGATCGTTTCGAGCACTTAGCTGTACACAGAGCGGAAATCTACTGCTGTTTTTTCCTTTGCTTTAAGCCTACTGCACGCACGCAGCTCACTGAGCTATGTCTGGATCTCGCGGGGAGCAGCAGCGTGATGGCAGGCGGAGAAACATGGCTCTGCTAGTTGCAATGCAACCCACTCAGTGCCTCCTGCTTTCCTGCTCTCCACTCGCTACTTGCTGCCCGCTGCTCTCTGCTCATGTTGAAACCTCCGCTGCTGTCTCTTACCACTGTAAGCCCTGCCTCGATAAGAGCCCTGTCCCGATAAAATCACATGCGTTCTCTTGGCACTCGTTAGCGGCGCACTCGCTACTTGGTGGTGTCAGCATGACCCGTGCCCACGTATCTCGCCTGCATGTGCTCCAACTGGCTGCTGATGTTGAACCGGTCGCTCGCCTGGTGATGACGGGTGGGAAAAAGGGGGGGGGCCGGGGAAAAGGGGGAGGGAACGGGGAAAGGGAGAAAGAATGCGGTGGGTTAGGCTGCATGTGCTCCCGCTGGCTGCTCATGTAAAAGGGGGGGGGGGGTTTGGAAAGAGGCGGAAGACGGGGAAGGGAAGTAAGAATGTGGGTGGGCAGGGCTGCATGTGCTGCACCTGACTGTTGGAGCTGAACCGGTCGCTCACCTGTTCATGGGGGTGAGGAGAAGGGCGGAGGGTGAGGGGAAGGGCGGAGGATGAGGGGAAGGGCGGAGGGTGGGGGAAGGGCGGAGGGCGAGGAGAAAGGCGGAGGGTGAGGGGAAGGGCGGAGGGTGAGGGGAAGAGGTGGAAAACGGGAAAAAGGAAAACGGAAAACGGAAAACGGGAAAACGGAAACCGGAAACGGAAAACGGAAACCGGGTAAGAGGCGGCGGTGCGCGAGAAACGGGATAAAGAGGACGGGTGAGTCAACGATGGTGACGCACGATGGACGGGCACAGGGGCGCGGGAAAAGGCCTGAGGGACGAAGGGGAACGGCGGAGGGGAGAGAGGAAAGGGCGGAGAATCAAGGGATCCGTGAGAGGCGGCAACAAGAGCAGTCTTCGAAAGCGAGGCCTAGAGCATGAGAAGAAGCTTGCGTGACTGTGAGAGGCGTGACTATGGCGAGCGACACGTAGGACGCCGCATGCGTACGAGCTTATTCGAAGCGCGTGGGACGCGCTACGACGGACTACGGAAGGAACGAACCATGGCAAATGAGGGATTGCGCGCGGCTGACGGGCTGACGGGCTGACGGCTGACGGCTCACGGCTGACGGGCTTACGGCTGACGGCTGACGGGCTTACGGCTCACGGCTCGGTCGTTTATTGACGCTGATCGAGAAAACGACGGTCAGAGGAGGCCTAGATGGGATTCAACGAGAGCAGGTGAAAAGCTGTCCATGCTTCTTGCAGCTTGTGAAAAAGGAGCCAATGGCAGGTTCTCTGAATAGGTTGAGTCTGAACTCGTTTTAAGATGCATAACATCTAGGTCTACATGAGATTGTTAAAATTCCCTGTTCTTAAGGAAAGCTTTGTCACTGTTTAGTCACAGGCTCGTTGTCACTTGCTAGCTCGGTAAAAATGCAACTTGTTTTCGCTCACGGTGACCTATTTGCATGTGTTATTGTAAGTTAGAATGGGTTGTACTGTAGAGGGTACGTGTTTGTACGTATCCAGTTTGTACCGTAATCCCCCAGATATAAGACCCCCCCTAAATAATGTACCCGGGTCTAGTCATTATCTCATTCTGACATGGTATCATCGCTAGGTTTATGTCGTACGCTTCCGCCCCGCCTACCGACTCGCCTACGCATGGTAATACACGCGCCCCTGGCGCCCGTCCCACCTATAGCGTCCGTGCCAGCCGCACCAACAGCGCCAGCCGCCCCTGCTGCACCTTCCACTTCTGCATGTGCCAGCCGCGCGCGTCGGTGCCAGCTGTGCCCATGCCAGCCGCGCCTGCGCCCGTGCCTACTACGCTAGCCGCGCCTGCGCTCGAGCCAACCTCGCCCGTGCCCGCATCTGCCACCTCGTCTACCGTGTGCCTGCCGCGGCCGCTTTCGGCGCTACCGTGCCTGCAGCTTCAACTTAGGGTTTCGCTTTGCCTGCGTGCTTATGACAGCACTTGTTTCACTCTCCTTTGTTAGAATTTAAGAGCATTAGGAAGGTAAGGAGGATGGGTGAATCAGGGTAAGGGGGGAAGGGTACAAGACAGGTGTCTAGAGTATTTTGTGTACCCTCTAGGATGAGCCTCACTACAGCCTATATAAACTATATATCATAGTTTAACAGACCCCCATAGGCTAAGTGAGGGGCGTCAAAGCAAGCAGAGCAAACAAATGGCCACAAGACCAGTCAAGAGAAGCACCAAGACAAAACTCAGGGTGGATCACAAAGTCACCACACAGTCTGAGCACAAGCAAGTGGCCACAAGGCCAGTTCAAGAGTTCAAACAAAGCAAGAAACAAGTACAAACAAAGCAAGAAACAACAGGCAAGACTACAGCAACCGAGGGCCTGCCTCAAGAAGGCCTAACTGCAGACAGAACCTGTGGTGGTCACCAGGCGGTAGTGCCTTGGAGTAGAGCCTCACCATTCCTTTCCTCTTCCATGATCTCCGTGCGTTCCCCACTGTCGCTGACCTCATTACTAACCTGCGCATGCTCGACGCTACTTACCGCGCTGCTTGTACTGCTGAGCATATCGCTGCGCACCCTCCCCCTATGCATGTCACTCTGTACATCCTCGAGACCCGCCTCCGTGCCATCGCCTCCACCACTAGTATCGTGGTCTTCCCCCCATCTTTGAGGGGTGCGCTCTGCCCCAACTCCCTACTTCAGCCGCCTCTACTTCTGTTGCTGAGCCTATTGCTCTGGCGGAGGTCGCAGCTACAGCTGCCTCTGGTGGGCACTAGGAGTGCTGGTCCTGGGGGTGCTGCAGCAGGAGGTGCTGGACCTGGGGGTCCGGTAGTGACTCAGCAACAGCAGTAGCAGATCCACCAGTAGGGTTCCCAACATTAGTTGGGTCTTCCTGGCTTGGAGAACGGGTACGACGATTGGGCATCACGTAGCCCCTCCGCCGAGCTCAGCCAGTACCGAATTCCCTCTGGTCATCTACACAGCACCGTCTGTGAGTGCATCGATCATCCCACTACCTTCAGACGCCTAAACAACCATTTATGCGCCCAATTTGTCTGCCATATATGCTGCATGATCTTACTATTCATGTGTGCCTAGACTACGATTTGTAGCAATCAGAAATGTAAGATATTTTGTTGCTGCTTACCTAGGTGCGTCCACAGCTGACGCGTCCCTCTCCTTCTTGCTGAACTCCGGCGCGCCACAATGATTCTTCCGCGACTGCACCAACCTCTCACTGCTCCCCGCTCCTATCGCAATCCCCCTGGCTGACCCCTCCTCTGGGTCGATCGTCGCACGTAGCGCTACTTCACCCCCATGTGCGGCAGTCCCCTCTGGCTCCCTCACATTTTTCCACATCCCATATTTCTCCAGGAACTTAGTGGGTGTCAGTCGACTTCAAGACCTCAGTGTCACCACCACGTTCCTTGGCCATGAGCGGTTTGCGACCTGTATGGATGTTACCACTGGGGCACCCCTTGCCATGTTTCACGTGGACCTTGCGTAAGGTCTTTTTACGCTGCACACTGCGTCCCCCCAAGTTCCTACATCTGGCCAGGTAGCTTCGTCATGCTCGTGTTGGTTGCTCACTCACCCATCACTCCTATGGCACCAATATCCAGGTCACCCCACCTCCCGTGTCTCTGTCACATGGCTCAGAACAGTCTTGTCTCTGGCCTTCCGTCGTCGCTCCCCGCTCTCCCTCCCTTGTCTATACTGCCGTGCACTCCTTGCATCGAGGGCAGGCTGCGCGCCGCCCCTCACTCCTCCTTGTTTCCTCTCACCACCGCGGCTCTTCAGACCTTGCGCATAGACGTCAGGGGCCCTGCCCCCATCTCTACGCCACGCATGGAGCATTACTTCCTAGTCATTGTGGACGACTAATCCCACTACACCACGGTCTTTCCCTTGGCGGTGAAGGTTGACATGATTGACGCCCTTATCCTATGGCTAGTGGCCGTCTGTGCCCAGCCCGCCTTGCCTGTTCTTCATTCGCACTCCGACCATGGTGACGAGTTTGCCTCCAGTCGCTTTGGCCGGTTCTCTCGTAAAAAGAGCATCCATCAGACGTACACGCTCTCGGACTCGCCACAGCATACTGGGCGCTACATTAGCTTGGTCATGGAGATCGCTCGTACCTGCATGACTAATGCCCGCACCTCCTATTTTCGATTGTTGTTTGCAGTCCGCTACGCCGCGCACCAACTTAACATGTGGCCATGTGTCTCATCGCCGACCTTCCTCTAGATTGGGTCCCCTAGTGTTGCGCCTGTGTTTCGCGTCTGAGGCTGCCTTGCTCACGTCCGCGATCCTCACGCATACAAGGTCTCAGCCCGCATTGTCCCTTGTGTCTTACTTGGATTCGAATGGGCGAAGCTGTTCATGCCGCGCTCATGGCCTCGGAACATAGAGGCAAGAGATGCAGAGTGCAACGAACATTTGGGAAGCCCACGACAGAGAGCATATCCTACCTGGTGAGCTCCTGTTGGGTTTGGTGAATGATTCACTCCAATCCTGTACGCTATTGCCTAAATTGGGCTCCAATTGTATGTGTTTTCTGTGTTTGGCGTGCAGCGAATTTGAAAATGCGCAAGCTCCTACCTTCTCTCCAGTGATGCAAAAGTGGAGCAACCGTTCTGTGTTGCCGGCCATCTTGGGGAATGATTCACTCCAATCCTGTACGCTATTGCCTAAATTGGGCTCCAATTGTATGTGTTTTCTGTGTTTGGCGTGCAGCGAATTTGAAAATGCGCAAGCTCCTACCTTCTCTCCAGTGATGCAAAAGTGGAGCAACCGTTCTGTATTGCCGACTAGCCCAGAAGCTACCACAACATTCGATTGTGGGATATCATTGTTGTGCTTCCTATAAGCACAGGCGAGTGCAAAACGGCTGTAGTTGACAAAATATGAGTAAGAGTTGATAGAGGATGAGCCTCTGCAACGCAAAACTAGGGGACTTTATGTTGCTCAGTTTGCTCGAGTATGTTATGGAATGGGAGAAGATTGTGGATTTTTTTAGGAGCACCAATAAGAGGCATCCCATTAAGCGAAATGAGACAATCGTTGCAGTGGATGTGCGAGCAAAGTTTGAGAGGGGGAGTGGCCGCCGGGTGGTGGTGGACGTATAGTGATTATGGGGGAAATGATAGCTCTGATGATGAAGATGATGCGGGCAACTATTGATGTTTGTATTTAGTTTGTTTACAAGCTATCCAAGTAAAAATTGTCTATATATACTTGAATAATGCAAGTTGTAACCTCAAACACATTTGTAGAGGGCTTGTGGAAGTAAACTAACCCATCAACGTGCGAACCATTCTTTGCACTGACCCAAACTAAGTGCAAAACCACATGGAGAAGCTCACAATAAAGCCAAAACCTGACACTGAGGGGACACCGTTTCGGGCAGGGCACACCGATCCATCACTGTGCCCTAAATCCAATATGAGGGACTGGCTCGATAAATGCGTTAGATTATTGTACATATTTTGGGATGTGTTTGGATGCCAAACTGGTCCTATAGGCTGCTTCATCCTTCCAAGATGTGCCAAGCAAGTTATTTCGTTTGTTTGTTTGTTTTGTTTTGTTTTATTTGTTATTTAGTTTGTTTTTGTTTTTTTGCACTAAACCTTGGTGATTGATTGATTTTTTCTTTCTTTCTTTCTTTCTCTCTGTTGGTTCTTCGAGGTTGTTACGAGTGCAATTGAGTGAGCGAACGAAGATTGCACTATCGAAGCAAAACAGTACATTGAGCGAATGTTACATGACAAACTTGTTACAATCCTAAAGGGACTTAGTTAAGGATCGGCTCAGGTTTGATCGCATGTGTTTGTTGCAGCGGAAGTGTTGACCTCGGTTCGGAGTGAATGTAATTGACTGAGATGATTATAGCAGATGCATACATTACTTTATATAGGAAATATGTAAGGAAAATACATTTTCCTTACTTTGTGCCCCTATTGCTTTATATAGGAAATATGTAAGGAAAATACATTCTCCTTACTTTGCGCCCCTGCTTACCGCGTACATGACAATTCCCACCACTAGCACCCAACAGTGAAACGTGACCCGCTCGCGACACTCGCCTTGACCACGGCTCCCGCCACTGTTCACGACGCGACCCAACCTCACGGTTCGGTTGGTAACCCGCGCTCCGGACCTCCGCCTCGACATTTCCCAACCTCGGCGCTAGGCCCGTAGCGCACCCCAATTTCTCGCGTTACTGTCACCACGCTAGCCTCGCTATATATTCTTCGCTCATGCCTTCGCTCAATGTACTGTTTTGCTTCGATAGTGCAATTCTCGCTCGCTCGCTCAATTGCACTCGTAACAAAATACGAACGAATATAAAAATTCTTAGCTGGCCATGTAATCTAAGGGGTACATTCCCTTATTACAGCGAGTTTCAACCGTGCGGCGGGGGAACCCGTTTCAAACCTGATCCCGCCAATTCCAGTTCAAAGGTTTCTACCTGCATCAGTCTTGACCTGACGGTTGCTGTGTCGCTTCGAATCGTCTGACTCCTCGTCTTCATACTTGGTAGAGTTTGCTCCTTTAGCGTACATGAATGCCTTCTCATTTAATTTATATCGCAACAGCGCCCTTCATTCCTTGGCGTATCGGGAGCTGACTCGTTTGACTACCCCGTTAAGGTTGGAGCAGTGCTAGTACTGCTAACGTGTCGGCCACTTGGTGAGAAAGTTGGCTGCCATCTCGGTGGTAGGGCAAGTGTTCAGGTCAACCTTGCCCTAGTCAATTTCGTCCTTGACGAAGAAGTATCGCAGTGATATGCTTCGTTCGGTTGACGAAGC